ATCAGACCTACAGACAAATTGATAGAGTGACAAACTCACCACGTTATTGCCTCATATATTAGACGATAGTGGGATGGGTATCAAATATATTTCACATATTTCACCTGATTATCAAACCGATTCATCGGTCAGGTTCACATTATAGAGGATTTATATAATTCGATTCTAGTGCTCAATTTTTCACTTCCAGCTTACCTTTTGGAGTTAAATTAGAAGAGGAATGTATATCAAGTAAGTCATTTGTAGGTACATTTTTTGATCAACTTATTTGCAGAACTGCAAAAAAATTTCGAGTCACTACAATGAAGCTGTGATCGAATCAGTGAAATAATAAGCCCTACCTCTATTGATAAGCTCTTCGCCCGTTATTTGTGGTCAGTTTTTCCGATCATAATACGAGAAAGGCTTTCAAATATTGTTGTCTTCGGGATCACCGATCTGACTATTAGCCCAGAATAAATGGTGATTGGATCCCCTAGTGAATTTGTAGCTTGGTCTATTGTAGGTTTGTTGGCCTAATCGTCTGTTCGCAGAACTTTTCGCGATTACGATAAGGGGAGTGATACGAAGAAACCCATCGTCGTTTGAGATGCGGACAAAATAGAGAAAGCTCGTTACTAGACTGATTACTTTTGAGTTCCAACCCCAGTCCAGAACAAATGATGGACGGAACTAAGAATGCTAATGGTAGAGAAAGAAAAGTGAAAAGTAGAGGGAGATGAGTGTTGAAAGAATACCGTGGGAGGAAAGTGTGATAGGAAATACCATTGAAATACTATAACAGCTTCAACTGATATAGAAGTTGAAAATTAGACAGAACAGGAAGTAAAAATAATGCGCATAAATAAGCTAGGAAATAAAAATTCATAAGCCTCTAGGAAGGTTGTGGTGATTTCCGCTTGAAGCCCAGTGTAAACTGAGGTCAGTAATCGTAATGTTGTATAATAGTAACCGGTTAGGATTTTACAGCGAGCTAATAGATGTAAGGAATAAATGAGTGAGAAAATTGATCGAAAAAGTGTATAATCAGAAATCCTCTCATGTCTTGGCTATGCCGTAAGTACCGTCAAGCCTCGAGAGAAGAGAATAGTTTGGCACTTTTAGGTTTTCTGAACGCTGTTCAGTTTGAGAGGGCGGAGTTGTACAACTGCTAGAAAAGAGGGTTGGATACACACCTAGTGTTATATATTATACATACTAATCTGGATACAATTCGTGAAACTCTCGTTCAATAACTACTACGATTTGGAAGCGGCACTCAGTTGTTTCAATTCCGAAATCCTACCTTTTTCGTTTCCACGGCTTTCCAACAAAAACAACTACAATTATTGTAAAAATGCCATCACAAACTGTTAGAGAAACGCAGCTTCTCGAGGATTTACTGCTTACGGATCATAACAAGTGAGATTCGTAACAACAGATCTGATTGTGGAACCCTTAATTGGTTATCAAGCAGTTTTAGGTACTGCTAGATAGATTTGGCTGCGAGTTAAAAACACCAATTACAATAGGAGTTGTTCCTGGTTGGAAAGCCTTGAGAACAACTTTGCAGCGAGCTCACGGATATGACGGAAAAAAGTAGTGGGAAGGGCAATCAAAAAAGTGTATAAATAAGAAATCCACTTATTGTATTGGCTAGTAGCGATAAGTCAGAAAGGAATCATTTTGCGCCTTCGCCTTTTTCTGAATGTGGGGTTCGGAACTTAATCGAATGAGTGTCGTTTTGGATTGGTAGAAGTTATAGAAAGGAGTGATTCAAAAATGCGAAAGATGCAAGATAATGCACCGAATCGTGGGGCGTAGACAAACGTGCATCCCTGGAAATGAAGAATCGATCAGGAACACTCCTGTAAGAAAGAAAAGCAGGACTCACAGGCACGATCGAGTTACCTGGACGACAAGCCTGAATCACATGGGAAGCTGCTCCTTCGCTTGCAATTTAGCTGTTGGTTGTTTTATCGTAGTTGCGAAATGCCTGCCAAGTGACGTAAGCGCTGGAGCACGTTATTCCAAGGTAGGTGTGTGTGGCTAGTTCTCAGTAGGGCGTTCAAGGTTTGGGGTATCCAGGTCAGCCCTAAATGCCCCTGAACCAATATACAAAGCGGTTTCCTCGGAGGCAAGCGTTCCTCGAAGTTCTAAAAGATAATGGGAATAGTAGGGTTTCTCAACCGTATAGCCTAATACTTCGGGTTTACTTCGAAATCTGATATCCCATTGTTCATCATGACTGTTTACCCAGTACAGTCTTTGATTTTCATGCTGCATGAGATATAGGTATTAACTGCTGATCCTGACACATAATTATAGGTCAGATAGGAAGTAGATTAGTTTATTTACGCAATGTTTGTACGAAGTTTGTCTTCAGTGCGGGAAAAAGGAAAGAAATTGGAGTACTAACTAGTGGGGAAGGCCCAAAGTAAAGAACCAAATCAATCAAAGCACCGCTTCCTAGGCGAAGCTTGAAATAACGTGCCCCAGAGCGAATGAAATCCATGGAAAAATTGTACCTCTGTACTATGATGTTCAAGATGCTACCCAAATGAGGGGGTTCATGAATCACTTCTGATCTGCCCTGTAAACGTGTAGTGTAAGCTGTCACCTAATCGTATATTTCAGTCTTTTCGTTTGTTCCTTAGCTGTTTCTACTGCCTCTACTTCGTTCCTTACTGCCTTGTTCATATGGTTAATTTTCACGTTTTTAGTGAACTGTCACTTATAACGCCTCTATATGTATCGATATGTTGCCACCCGGGTGCTGCTGGTGCCGTAACCCTCGCAATCGAACAAACGGCACCACTCGGCACTATCATGCTCTTGTTGTTAGACCGTTACTGGAATGCTTGAAGATGGTTCACTTTTGCCCTGAGAACGTATCATTTGCTTCGCCTTGAAATGAGGTGAGTGCAGTTTTTAGTTGGTTCGTGTGTAGCGATGACTACCTCGACTCGTGTGTCTGCCCACAAAAAGTCACGTAAACACGAGCGGCGAAAGGGACGTCGCGCGCGAAGGAATATAGCAGAAAGCAGCAGCAGGTAAGAAATACATGAACAAAGGAACTAACAGTAGAATTATGACCAAAATAAGGATCGCATATCAGTTGAGCTGCACGAAGAACGCGAGAGCTGAAATAGGAGCGAACGAATGGTCCGCGACAGCCGCGTGCGGCGAATCGACTACAGAATCGCATACAGGCGGAGCTGCCTAATACCCGTCTCCCATCGTATAGTAGATAACCAGTAATGGACAAGAAAGAAACGAAAAGTCGGTACGAGCACTCGGCTCTTACAGTACCCCCCCCCCCCCCCCCCCCCCCCCCCCTACCTTCCCACCACATAGCACGTGTCCTCGTTCCAGGTCCTTTTGATGCTTCGTATACGTGGCGGGTGAGAAACTGCTTATCAAAATTGGGTTATGTTGTGCCGGATTACTGTATGAGCCGGGTACCTGTGCACAATTTTAGTTTCTGTACTTAAAGGCAACTGAATGCCATCGAACTTGGTCATTAATTTGGTCATCTATTAATGGAATCAGGGAACGGAGCCTAGTATCAGCGGAGTCCTCTGGGAAATGCCACACAAGAGTGTCAGCCTCAAGGAAATGTGACACTGTCAGATAAAAAGGGATTTTCTTGAACACATATCAGGACCTCGGACTTGCGAAACTAGTTAACGCACATCTCTACTTATTAAGTCTCATCATGTATTTTCGAGAAAGGTCTCACAATTCCGAATATGTCTTTCACAAAGAAGAATTTCTGCTATATAAAATGATGTAAGTAATGAAAATTATGCTTGTTGCGGCACGGGAGCCGAAACGAAGCCGGAAATCGAGACAACCTCTTCACGTAACGCACGGCGCGCTCCATTGCACGTTAATAAACTTTACGCTGCGTACTGTAATGACTCGCAGTACGCAATTACATGGAGTACTGGGAGAGTTTTTACGTGACGTCCTTATTGAAGTGTTACGGGAAGGTAGGCGAAAGCTCGCAGTACCTCCACGGTCTTTAGGACCTTTCTCGACTAGTACATTGACTAGCAATGTTGTCCGTAGGAACCAGATTAAGGCAGTACATCTTTTTGGGTAATAGATGTGCTTCAACAATCGCTAATGCATACGCAAAGCTGGTCGAGGGCAATGTTCTCAACAAGGATGAATATCAGGTGAAGAATTCTCATGTAAACAGTTTAGTTTAGTTTAACTGCTTTGTTTTTTTTTCATTCCTCCTTGATTATGGCAACTACCATAGTCCTGTTGGGCAAGAAATGGCTTTTCCGATATCCCGCTGTGGGTATTTCTACATATGTTATTATATATTAAACATAGATACATATTTTTCTAACATTATAATTATTGGTACTAATATGTGTAATAGTAATAGTAGTAACCTAATAGTGATACAGTTTGCCAAGGTGTTATATTGTCAAAGTTCCAAAGTACGACTCACAGCATATATCAAAAATTGAAGGCGAAAAAGCCCACACGCAAGTTGAATAAAGTTTGATGGTCATCTTGCCCCCAGATTTAATCAAAAGTTCCACGAGAACTATATTGTAAAAGTCTTTTGTTTGTTGCCACAACTTTTTTCGTGCAAATTGATGTATGATGTTGTGGAAGGTATTCATTGCTGTGATCGACAACTTTTGCGCATTCTCGTTGTAAATTAACTGGTAATTCGGCAAAGCTTTAAATGCCTTTGACATTTAATCGTGGTCAGAGCTGTCAATTACCCCAGTAAGAAGTTTCAGCGGACTTTTTTTCCACTTATGAACTTGAGTGGTGAGTGATCATCAGTTGCCCTATGGTTTGAACACGTGTGGGCATTAGTTTAGGGTATTAGTGCATCAGAGTATTTGTTATTATCAGCAGCAAGAGAACTTTGGTTTTTTAATTACCGCAAATGAATATCTCTTGAAAATACTCTTGAAGGACGCTACTGGAGAAGTGATATTCAAATGCTCAGCTTATCAGAATATCATTGTTAAATGTTGCTCGTTTAGTACCTATCTTTTGTGACGGAGACAAATTTTCAGCTGTCACTCATTGCTCACTTTGACCATCTGTTGGATTCCTTGATAACTTATGACGTCGACCAAATCAGAAGAAGACGAAAGTCAAAGCTGTTCAGCATATTGGATAGATTTCAGGTTTGTTCACAGTGTTGTTTGATGCACATACATGCAGTTATCTTGGGTCTTTGTTCAATGTTTAAAACTTGTTTGTAAGAATTTCAGGTAATGCATTCTTGAAAGTTCACTTACCCACATTCGGAAGGTTGTCGTTCTTTAAGAATCGCGGAACCCGTAGCGATTGAGGAGGGGCAGTGACTGCATAAAAACCTGCGTTGGCACATTGCCAACGAAAAAAGGACGTCGTTCACGCACGCACTCCTGCGTCACATTTTAGTTTTAGTTAACGGCATGCTGCAGGCGTAGTAAAACCGAGGAAACGTCAGCAACCTATATACCAAAATTCAACTGTAGTCAAAGCCTATGTTAGGTTTGATTGTGAAGAAGTTATCCCCTTACCATGAGTCTTATTCGTCGGGTTGATATTTCAGATGTGAAGTCAAACGCAAAAATGTTCCAGAGTAAAGTACTTAAACAGACAACCTTGAGGAACTGAGCTGCGTAATAGAACTATTCAAGATTTTGGACTTTTTAAGTGTATGTGGTGGAAACTCATTTCTAGCGATTTCAGGCCAAGCAGGTAAGTCCTGCACCTCAAGGGATCTATTTGTGGGGTACTGTCGGATGCGGCAAAACCACTTTAATGGATTTGTTTTTCGATTGCTGTCCATTCGCGGATAAAGAGCGTGTTCACTTTCACTCGTTCATGCAGGACGTGCACAAAAGTAGGTGATACTATTCATCATTGATCCCGTTTCTTTGAGTTTTCCCTTACAGATATGCACAACCTAAAAATGGCATATAGTGGTGAGCGAGGCAGTTTCGACCCAGTACCACACATTGTCGATGAAATCATGAATAGCTGCAGGCTTTTGTGTTTCGATGAGTTTCAGGTGATTTAGAAGTTGGATCACTGAAAAAAGATTCTCGCACGTCTGTTCATTAATATTCAATCGATGTCCATTATTCAAGGTGACTGATATTGCGGATGCTATGATTTTGAAGAGGTTCTTCTCACTATTATTCGATGAAGGACTCGTTGTTGTTGCTACTTCAAATAGACCTCCCAAAGACTTGTACAAGAATGGACTACAACGTCATCAATTTGTACCCTTCATCGACGAACTAGAAGTTGGTGTTATTTTTTTCACCTTTTGCCTCTCGCTTCTCCTCCCTTGGAAATAATGATAATCAACTCATAATTTCTTTTTGTAAGAGCAGATGCCGCATACTTTCCTTGGATTCTGGCATTGATTATCGGAGGATAGGAAGCGCAGGGTCCAATATGTTCTTTGTTCGTTCTGCAAACGAAGACACGGATCAGCAATGTGATCGCGTGTTCAAGGAATTGGTCGCATTTGAGACAGATAGTAAGTGTTTTCCATTGATGTCTTCATCATCTCTGCATTAATATCTTTTACGGGCGGTCTAAGGTCTTTACATAATCCCATTTGGGTACCAATTTCTCAGTTGGTATTTCGTTTTGTCTATCATCGCCACTTGCTTTTCTAATAAAAGTTTCTAGATCATATGTCCCTCTGAATTATCTCCATTTATCACGACTACTCAACATGATCAAATATCATTTTTTTGAAGACGTATACAAAATATGCTCGTGGATTAACAACACCTTGCTTCCCATTATTTGGGATCTAAAACGTGACATGTATTCGCTTACTGCATTGTGAACTTCTTCCTTTTATCATTAATCAGTCGCTACGTCTACATCAGACTCGTAGAAGTGTCCTTCATTTAGGAGTACGGCCGAAAACACTCAACATTCTTGGACGAACAGTAGAAGTGAAGAAGTGCTGCGGTGGAGTTGCAGATATTGACTTCGTCGATGTGAGGTTTTAAAGCTATTCTAAATAAAGTTTAGACTTCGAAATTTTTTCCGTGACGGTCCTAGCTTGGAATCCTTAGGTTAATTAGATTAGTTTGAGTTTTTAGAACATAATTCGCACTTCATTGGGGGATTTTCTTAAACAAACAGAATAGTTGCTCTATTTTTTCATGGGAGAAACGTCGAAATTTCTTCTTTGGGGATATCCTGCCATGAACTTCTCCCAATTATTGTTCATTAGAAGAGTTCAAAATGTCGTTTACAGTGGTGCGAACGGCCATGCGGTGCAGCTGATTATTTGGTGCTTGCTCGAGTATTTCATACCATAATACTTCGCAATGTGCCTGTGCTGACCAGATCAAAATTGAGTGAAACCAGGCGATTTATCACGATGATCGATACCTTTTACGATCAGAAGGTTGGAAAATTTTACAGTTACTCAATTAAGATATACATATATCCATCTCGACTTATTAAAAAAAAAAGTTGGTTTTTTAGCTGATTCTTCCCAAAACATACAGTAGCGCTTAAAAGTATTCGGCTAACTTTAACTTGCCGTAACTTTTTCCCCAGTGGAGCAAATAACATGAAATTTTGATATGTTTAGTTGAAGCATATTTTACACTGTCCAACATAATTGACTGCAAAACAGCCATATCCACATATAAATATGGAGGCGTTTGTAGACTGTGCTGGAAGCAAGTTTGTGACGTCTGCAGTTATTACGTTTTTCTCCTCTTCTGGGTTCGGAATTAGTGCTCGTACATTTAAGACATGGCAGAGAAGAAAAGACTCCTAGAAGGACTATCATTCGTATTCTCAGTTGTTTTTTTGTTCAAGCCTTTTTGGATATCTAGAACATGATCGGATTGCATGTTAATAGTGATAAATATTCGCGCTACACCAATGCTACAAATACTGAAATTTCGCTTGATTGGATCCAGCAGGAAAGGAGTTATGACTGAAAAGTACGAGCTAAGAAGCATTTGGTCGAATACTTTTGAGCACTACTGTATACAAAAAGGTGTCTTATTGTTAGTTCAATGTTTTCTCGAAATTTGTGGCTTGTAATAAAATCACCTGTATCACCTGTATCACCTGTCGTCCCGTTGATCATCGAAATCCTCGAGCGGGCGCCAGTAACGTCTCCATTCGTCCCTGTCACGAGCCAAAGTGGTCCAGTGAACCGTTCTCGCTTCAGGGACACGAGGTTCAACATTCCTTTCGTTCAGAGCTTTCGTGAAGAAGTCTGACCATCTCGTCGGCGGCCTTCCTGGTGTTCGTTTGATGTCCCGGGGGATCCAGTCAGTAACCGCCCTGGTCCAACGGTCATCACTATATCGCATAACGTGTCCGGCCCACCTGATCTTCGATTTCTTGGCGTAATCAACGGCATCCCTGATCTTCGTTCGGTGACGGAGCTCGGAACTCCGGATTCCCTTCTGCACTTGCGTGTATAGGGAAATTCCGAGCATCGTCCTTTCCAAAGCGCGTTGAATAACGCTGACAGCATGTTCATCCTGCTTTCGTAGAGTCCAG